ATTATGGGCTGAGAGGTTAAGTGTAAGGCCATTTAGGATAATACCTGATGGGCTAATCTTGCACCTGCCCACAGTCCCTAGGTTTTATAAGATGGTTTGGCCTAGGGACCACTTAGTGTGTGTTGGGCCCATAGGGTCCATGTGATGGGCTCAGGGGTTCACTGGGCTTTTCAGTGAATTCGGCTAGGCCTTGTAATAAAGGTTGGGCCGAACCCATGTGGTTGGTGTGTAGATCAGTGCTTGGGTCCCATGCCATACAAAGAAGCCCAACTGGGCAGCAGATTGGAAACCAATTGAGCACTGATTACTTAATGGGCCAAAAGCCCATTTCGAACTGGGTTGATATGATCACCCACTTATGGGGTGGATCTGAGATAAGGTTAGCAAAAGGATTGGGCCTTTAACCTAATCCACTCCAGGAGACCAAATTCGAATAAGATTTGAATATGGTAATCTCCTGATAAGATCAGGAGTAAGTTAACCTAATATGCAGATAGGATTAAGATCATCCCTTATCCAGATGCTGATTTGGATTGAGATAACTCCTAATAGGATTAGGAGATTTCTTAATCAAGAAGAAAGAGGAGAAATCCAAAGAGAATTAACAGAATTCGAACCTAGGTTTTTGAGCAAGAAGATCTTCCTGCGAATTGAGATAGGATCTCATACACTTCAGAGAGAAGAGAAGCAGCATTCGCCATCTTCATCTCAGGAGTTCTCCTCCAGCTGCCGCCATTCTCTGAAAAAATTCGATCTTTGAGAAAAGAAATCAAGAAATCAGTTCTTGATATCAGTTTTGCAGAAGGAACTGAAAAGATTTGGTGCTCAGTGTTTCTAGAGGATTCTTGTGAAGGATTCAGTGTGTAGGACGCATTCTGCTGGTACCGTTCTATAGATTGCTGTGTCATCTTCATTAGGAGCGGTTCTTGGTGTCTTCTTTGGGCGTGAACACCAACTTTGGGAGATATTGCTTCTCTGGATCAGGTATAATCCTCCCTTTGCCTTTTGGTTCAGATCTGGTTCGGTTATGGTTCAAGTAGGATCCTTGAATATTGTATTCTAAATTTAGGGAATATGATTCCCAGTTGGAAGAAGGTAGGAAATTTTTTTGAAATTCGCCCACCCATTCCGCAACCTTTTTGGCTTCCATACGATGGATCCTACCATTCTTTCACTAGTTTAGTATTTATACACTGACATACTGTTGACTATTCAGTTCTGCAAGTTGATGTGGAATATCATGAAATAAACCTTGTTTGTAAAGAATGTTTTTTCTTATATTAATTAAAATTCATGGTTGAAGGTGGGAAAGATATAGCTAATATAGATTATCTCATGTCACTTTTAGCTAATAATTTTCATTTTCATGTTTTCATAATTATCTAGACCTGTAAATCATATTTTAAAATGACTTAGTTCCACCCAAAACCTTATTCAATTATTTCAGGTTTAAGTTTGGAGCTTGACATTAGACATGTAGCAAGTATTGTGATAAAAAAACTTGGGTATATGGATCTGAGTCAAACTATGACTCCTTCAATCCAACCACATCTAAGGTTAAAACTTTGCAAGAGTTCCATCTTGCAAGATAGGATAGATTACCAGAAGCCAAATGTTCATCTTAAGGGGAAAGAAAATCTGTGCTTTAAAAACTAACCCGGAGGCTGATCTATTTTTGCCTCTCGGCCGTGGGTCACCGGTTTGACTGTCTGGGTCTTACGGGTCAGACTGTGACATGATGGCATGTTTTATATATACATATATGTGTATGTATGTATGTATAAAGATGTATTTTATCAATAAAATAATGTGTTTTTATTTTTACATGCAATATATGTATATATAATAATCATCTTATGTTTAATTTATATTTTTAATTCAGTTTTTTAATTGTTAAATTGCTAAAAATTGTGATTTGAGGCCAAAAAGAACTTTTTGGTGAAAGTAGTGGGGCATTCATCACCTTGGAATGCATAGATCTGAAAAAGTTACCCTAAATCGATATAAAGATCACCCAAATCAAACAATTGAGCACAAAGTTATGGACTCCGAAAGCTTGCACGTACATTGAGTGTGTAACCCGTGGCCTAGTGACCGGGTCGAGTCAAGGTTCAACTGTTCGGGTTGGATGGTTTTTGACCAGGTCATTGACTTTTGACCAAATTTCGGGTTTTAGGCAAACCAGGCCTGGAATCATGCCAGGGTGATGATTCAGATGGTTCAACTGTCCAGGTCAATGGCGGGTTGAAAACACTAGAGGAAATATGGAAATGAACATGCAAGTAAGTTTTAAAATGTTGGTTTGTTGGAGAGGCTAACCACTTAAAATAAGAAATATGTCAGAAGTACCTGAATTTTTGTCTGGATTTATTGTAAAATTTATGGCGTTTAACCTTTCAAAATATTTGTTAAGTTTGATGTTTTTATTTTTATTTTTCAGGTTTTGAGTGTGAGGTTTGGCAGCAATTGTTTGCTTTTTTGGGGTTTTTTCTCTTGGATGATGTCTTATCACCTTTTTCTATCTTTATTCTTTTAATGGGTTTTTTTTTGAAATTTAAAAAAAGACATTATTGTGAATCTAACATGATTGCCATGTTTCAATATGGCCTCTTTGTCCGTTCAGAATAAATTTTAGGGTTAAAAATTATTATGTAGTGGTTCTTGTGTATAATTTATTTATTAATATTATTTTGTTATGTTTTGTTTAACATAAAAGTTCTATTTGCATATGAATATCTTTTTGATTGGTTGATTTGGATATGAATATACTTATACCATTACATTATTTATTCTCTCATAAGAGTTTAAAATGTTAACATGTTGACTATATTTATTAAATTATGTATAACTAAAAGTATTTCATAAAGGAAAAAAGAACAAAAAGTCATTTATAGTGATAAATTTGAAAGAAGCAACGAGTTTAAGGAGAAACTCAAATTATTTGAATGATATCTATGTACAAGTAAAATGAGAACTTTGCATTTAATATAATTTTTTGGTTAGTAACATAATTTCATTAGATAAAAAGAAAAAAATCTTGCAGACAATCAACAAGGAGAAGAGGCCATCATCATTTCATGTTGATATGCATGAAAATTAAAACATTTTGTGACAATATTAGGAAATAATTAGATGTTGTAAACCATTCATACAAAATACTATCAAACTGGAGCATGTTCAAATAAATGGGGGGAAAGTTGATTATTGTGGGCTTTGAATTGCAGTGAAGCATGAGATCATAGATAACATCTTAAAAGCTGGTGCTCTTTATATCAGAAACGGTGGTGGTTACATATTACATCATGCACTATTAATCATTTATAATTAAACTTCTCCCTCTCCTTAACCTCTTTCATTCTTTTCTGTGTTGCAGGGAAAAGATAATGACAACACCAAGRAAGGAGAAAAAGAGAGAGGCTAGGAGAGAAGAAAAGGCTGAAAAGGCTGCACTTTTGGATAAGGTTATCATGTTCATCTTATGAGTTGGTTCACTCGGTTTTCCATCTACATCCCAGTTGTTTCTAAAAATATTGGATCTTTTGCAGAGTATTGAGAAAGAATTGTTAGAACGTCTTAAGAAAGGAGTTTATGGTGACATATATAATTATCCTGTCAAGGAATATAATAAAGTTCTTGATATGGAAGGACTACAGGCTGCTAGTGAGGATGAAGAGGAGGTATGGTCATCACAAGTTACTTGTTTTTCCTGTTCATGATCAATAATGTGAATGCCTTTGTGTCCTTTGCTGACATGAGCAGGAACCTGAGATAGAATATGTAGAAGGCTATGAGGAACTTGAAGAAGAAGATATGGAGGATTTTGGTGGTCCTGCCATTGATGAGTCTCTGAAGGATGGTGATTATGGTAATATAACATGAATCTTCTTGCCAATCAATTATTGAGTCTATTTTAACATTTCACTAGTTGAGTGGCATATGCATTTACATGCACAAGAGAAGAGAAAAGTAGGGGATAGGAAAATAAATAGACCAAAGTGATGGTGGTCTGGATGTGAGGCCAAGGCAAATGTTGGCATTATATAGTAAAAATTTCACTACAGACATGCATATTTATATACATAATAGGTACACAGCTAATAATGGGACCAAGTCCTAACGTTTTCTTGTATATAGCCATGTTTTGTGCATGTCCATGTTTTATGCATCTATTAAAAAATGAAAGGAACAACTGCGGTTTTTCAATATACAGGGGAATTTATACAAGGTAAATAATGGAATTACAGCTGGCTAGGAGCACAGCCGGGAAAGTACAGCTGGCAAGCTTCCAGCTGTTTAACCGACACAGCTCAACTTTGTTTAATTGACATGCGCGATAATTAAAAAATGAAAGGAACAACTGCGGTTTATTCAATATACAGGGGAATTTATACAAGGTAAATAACGGAATTACAGCTGGCAAGCTTCTAGCTGTTTAACTGACATGTGCGATAATATCTAGACTCACAGTCCCACTCACCAACATGTATCCAAAAGAATGCACTGGTTCTGATAATATTCATCTGGATTGAACATGATTAGTTAATGATGCAGATGACATCGGTGAAGATGATGTGAAAACAGTTCATCAGAAAAGGGAGAGAAGAGATTCTCAGCAAAAGCTTGAGAAGGAAGAACCTGGTGCAAAGTTGAAAAAGAAAGCAAGGGTGATTATTGAGGTAAATATCAATCATATTCTTGAGATCCTACATCCATGCACACAAAAATCTACATGCACTAAACCAGTTCAAAAAGACGTGGTACACCTAGCAACACATGCAGCATACCACTAGGAACCAAAAAAAGAAACACGAAGGGAAAAGGTGGTCAGGAACCTTACTCTGAAGGAGTATATCAATTGTTGATCGAGGTCCTTTATGGAAATGTATGCAACTTTCAGTGTTACACTACAGAATTTTCTTCTCCCTGGAATGAGAACTAACAAGTTTGTGGTAGTGGCCAACTTCGTTAAATAACCTACATGATAGAAATCTGCAATTTATTCACTAGACAACCCTATAGGCTATAGCTATCCCTTCTGGAAGGTGGACCCAACAGTGCAATTAATGGGCCATAACTTCTTTTCTACCCTTTTCCCAGTTAAGAAATCTCTGCTAACCCAATTAAATATCTGAAGTTCTTGTTGTTTGTCAGGTTGAACATGAAGATGCTGGAATAAGGCAAAAGGAAGTCCAATGAAAGAGTCTATAATGAACTTCTGGAATCAAGTTACCAAGTACAAGTGGTTATTGAGTCAGGTACAAGCTGTATCGTCTCATGACTCGCTTGAGGATAGAGAAAGGTTTATCATCATATTTTTGATTTAATTTTGACCGTGATATTTTGTCCCTTCAGATTTTGATCTTTGAAGATAAAAACAATCCAAGGCAAAATATGCATAAGATCAGTTACACAAAATTTATGAATGGGAGTTGTGATTTTGTACACACGTTATTCTCTCTCTCTCTTTAAACTTTTGCAAAGACAGATCTCAGGCACTGATTTTTAGAGGGGTCTCGCTTGTTTGTTGCTGAGCCCAGAGAGCAGCCGGAAGTAGCTGCAGCCATGCATACACCAGTCACCAGTGAGAGACTTCCCACTGGTAGAGGTGACGCAGGAAGGGAAAGACAGGGAAACTTATACAAGGTTTGTAAGGCTTCCCTACCCTTCCCCATTTTTTTTCCTTCAAAACTAACGCAGCCGAACGGGAAGACAGGAACTCATGGCTGGACATTTGCATGAGGTGAAACACCATCACCAAGACACCAACAAACAGAGGAAAAGGGAGGTTGAGCTTGGAATGTAAATGGATTGGATTGGATTCAAGGGGTACATCCAAGTCCGATCTGATAATATAAATCGTAGATCCTATCAAATGGTGATTTGAATCCTAATTAATCCATTAAGAATGTTGGATATCTGAATCCAAAACCAAATCTAATTTGATTTAATTTCTGAAAAATTTAACAAATTATTAAAAGAGAAAAAAAACTACAGTTTATATAAAGAAAACAAAAAATACAAGTATTTTTTTTCAAATATTTTCATCATATATATTAATATATACATGTCATTTTATAAAAGAAGTTACAAAAATGTAATATAAACATATATATTAAAATGTAATATAATATATAGGCCAGATCGGATCTTTTTGGATAGGATAGGGGTGATCTAAATCTGATCTAATTTTCAATCGGATCCTATTATCTGATCCAAAAATTCCGACAGTGGGTTATTAAAATCTGGCAAAAATAGGATTAGATTTGGATCGGATGAGATCATGATCCAGTCATTTTGCACCCCTAGGCTGAGCAAGGGAGTGATGATGGTGATGGAGGCAAGAACTTTGAAGGTTTGAGTTGGGCTTTCACGTTAGACCTATCACTGGAGAGCATTTGTTTTAACCATGAAGAATAATTTCGCCTTCTTTATAAGCAACCTCCAGAGAATGGAGAATTGAGCCTTGAGTTGGCAAATGGCGAAGATCAAAGAGACGAACAGATTGTCCAATTTGTCTCTTTTTTTTTTTTTGGGTAAATCAATATGGTATCTGAAGTGACTTAAATCATTGTAGTTCCAATAATAAGAATAGATTGAAGCTGCATATTTTTTAAATTTGAACTTGTCTACACCTGAAATGGATGCCCCTTTTCTTGTTTAGCTTTCCTCTTTCTTGCCCTTCATCCTGCTTCTCCCTGATCAAACTCTTTCATGGGACTAAAATCTTCTTCTCATCTTTCTGCACTTGGGAGTGAAATCTTAAGGCACCAATTTGAGAAAGTACCGTTAGGATGGCCAAGGATGCATCCTAACTTGTTTAAAGGCTACAAGAAGCCAGAATGGAATGACTTCACCAACCTTCCAAAAGACTCCAAATGAAACAGTCTTAATGCCAAATGTAAAATGACCTAAGTACTCCCAACATTTTACATTTTCAAATACCAACTATGCCCCCCTTTTTTGGTATATAAATCAACATTTTTGGCTACAATAAAAGTGATGATCTACATGTGCCATTGTTATTTTTAATGACAAAACTAACCCTAACTAAACAGCCTACTCTATAAAATAATTTTTATAGGGTAAATTAGTTAAACCTTCTCTTAGGGGTGTTCACATTAAATGTCAAACCGACCAAATCGACCCGACTCAATCCGAGTTGATCGGTTTTTCAAAATGAGCGGTCGGTTCTGGTTTGTGTGAGAAAATAAACCGATAACGTGGTTCAATTTTTACACATGAAAACCGAACTGACCCTATATGCTTTAGGTAATTACTAAGTAGTCCTTATTCAGCCCTACTCCCTATCATGGTTAACTTTAAATTTAAGTAAAGTTATTTTTTACCTTTTTGGGTTTAGCAAGCATTGATGTGAAGGAGTCTTGGAAATTGGAATGGACATACATGTTGGATTGCTGGAGTCTTCAATCTTCAATTTTGGAAGGAGAAAAAAAGAGAGGTTAAATAAAGTTATTTATTACCTTTTTGAGTTTAGCAAGCATTACTGTCAAAGACTCTTGAAAATTGGAATGGAGAGACAATTGTTGGAGTCTTCACTATTTAGTTTTGAAAAGAGAAATAAAGAGAAGTTAAATAAACCGATTAAATTGACCAAAACCAACCCTTCATGTTTGGGTTGGTTTTGCTTCAAGGTCGGTTGGTTTCGATTTAGTCAATAAATAAACCGACTAGATCAGGTCAATTGAACCAACCCGACCCGTGAACACCCTTACCTCCTCTATAGTTTTTGACAACTTTTTAAGCCTCCCTTGAATTTTAATCTCTTCAACCCCACAAATAAACCCCTTTTGCTAGTTTGATGTTGAGACGCTAATAGAAAAAAAATGATATCACAGTTTTTAATATCTTTGTGCCATTATTATTTTTATTTGTATAATTTATTTGAAATGTGAAGAGATGTTTATGGAGAGCTCAAAGTTCAAGGGAGAAACTAAATGAGAGGTTTAAGTAATTTACCCTGTTCTATATGGCAAAAATACACATTTAACCTTTCCCCTCTTTTATATACACTAGTCTTCCGGGGAGGTGCCCTCTCGAAGATACTCGATTATGGGGTCCATCCAAGATGAGCCATGTTGCACTGGAAGGATGAGAACGGCTGATGGCGCGATGCTCGGCTAGGATAGCGTGTCTAGACGGACGATTGAATCAAGGTCGGATTGTGGCGAGCTGGCGAGCTTTGAAAGGGCGTTGGCTCGAGCATCCTCGGCCCGGGGGATCTGCTGGATGTCGAAGTGCTCAAGCCGCTGAATGAGCTCCTGTACCTGTTGTAAGTAGCTCGCCATAGAGAGAGTCCGAGCTTCAAACTGGCCATGGATTTGGTTGAATACGAGCTGAGAGTCGTTGAAGGCCTCGACCTGTCGTGCCCCAAGGTCTAAGGTGAGTAGAGCCCAGTAATCAGGGCCTCATACTCAGGCTCGTTGTTAGATGCCTTGAACTCGAATCTGAGGGCGTGTTCCAATACTACGTCATCTGGGCCGAGGAGGATAAGGCCGCGTCGTTGCCTTGCTTGTTCGACGAGCCATCAACGTAGAGGGTCCATGCTAGGGGCAGTGGGGCCGGTTCCTCCACAGCAAACGTACACTACGCGATGAAGTCTTCCAAGGCTTGGGCTTTGATCGTCAGTCGGGGGCGTACGTGATGTCAAACTCACTCAGTTCCACATTCCTTTTGACCAGACGGCTCGACACTTCCGGTCTCTATAGCATTTGCTTGAGGGGTTGGCTAGTGAGTACTCGGATGTTGTGGGCCTGGAAGTAGGTTCTGAGTTTCTTGGCCACGGTGACGAGAGCCAAAGCCAACTTCTCAAGATTGGAGTATCGGGTTTCACCGCCATTGAGGACCTTACTAGTGTAATAGATCGACTTTTGTACTCGGTCTTCTTCTTTAACTAACACCGAGTTGACGACCTCATCCCCGACTGAGAGGTAGAGCAATAGCTTGTCCCTGGGCTTGGATTAGTCAAGAGGGGCGGCGAGCTTAGATACTGCTTTAGTTCCTGGAAAGATTACTCACATTTCTTCGTCCACTAGAAGTTCTTTGGTTGTTTGAGCGCTTTGAAAAAGGGGAGGCACCGGTCTGTTGATTTGGACATAAACCTATTGGGGGCGGCTATTCTCCTGGTGAGTCACTATTCTTCTTTGTGGGTCTGGGGGGATGGCATGTCAAGGATGGCTTTTATCTTCTCTGGGTTTGCTTCGATTCCTCTCTGTGTTACCATGAATCCCAAAAACTTGTCGGAGCCAACCCCGAAGGCACACTTGGTCGGGTTCAACTTCATCTTGTACTTTCTAAGTCTGTCGAAGACTTCGTAGAGGTCGGCTAGGTGGTGCTTGGCCTTTTTGCTTTTTACGAGCATATCATTGACATATGCCTCCACATTCTTATCGAGTTGCTCCTTGAATACCTCGTTCACCAACCACTGATAGGTAGCGCTGGCATTTTTGAGGCCGTCCGCTCTTGGTCATCTGGGTCCATCTGGATCTGGTTGTAGCCTGAGAAGGCATCCATGAAACTTAGGAGCTCATGCTCTGTTATTGTGTTGACGAGATGGTCGATCCGGGGAAGGGGAAAGCTATCTTTGGGACATGCCTTATTTGGGTTGGTGAAGTCAATGCAGATCCTCCACTTTTCGTTGGCCTTCTTCACCATCACCATGTTGGCCAGCCAATCAAGATATTTGACTTCCCTAATGAATCCGACGTTGAGCAACTTCCGTACTTCATCGGCGATCACTTGTCACCTCTCTGGGGTGAAGTTTTTCTTCTTCTGTTTCACAGGTCGGTAACAAGGGTCGATGTTCAGCCGATGTGTGATAACTTCGGGATCGATTCCAAGCATGTCCTCTGCCGACTAGGCGAACACGTTAGCATTGTTCCTCAGTAATCAAATAAGTTCCTCTTGTAGATGGTCGCCTAGCAGGGAACCAACTCGGATCGTCTTTTTGGGGTCTTCCTCAACCAAGGGGACCTGGATGAGGTATTCCACAGGTTGGCTGCGTTGTGCCTTTACCTCATCATGTAGTTCATATGCTTCCACCATCAATGTCTCGGTCAGTGGATGTGGTCCTCGGCAGGATAACTGGTAGCAATGTCACGCTGTTTTCTGATCTTTGCACGCCACACCTATGTCGTACTTGGTTGGAAATTTCATGGTGATGTGGTATGTTGAGACTACTGCTTGCAGGGCGTTGAGGGTTGGCCTGCCGAGGATCACATTGTAAGTGGAGGGGCAGCGTACCACGATGAAATCTACCATGGCCGTCGCAGTTACGTTGCCATCCCCAATCAAGAGGGGAAGAGCTATCCTCCCTATTGGCTGGAGGGACTCTTCAGAAAATCCCATCAAAGGAGTGCTAACTGGTGCAAGTCGATCTCTGGCGGTGCCAAGCTTTTCGAACGCATCTTCGAACAACATGTCGGCGGAACCTCTTGTGTTGATTAGGATCCATCATAGCTCGAAATTGGCCACTTCGGCGGTGATGACCAAGGTGTCGTCGTGCGGTGTCTAGACTCCTCGAAGGTCATCATCAGTGAAGGTAATAGACATGCCGCGCCTCTTCCCTCGACCTCGGTCATCGATCTTGCACAGCTGAGCATATCTCTTTCGTCCCGAGCTGCTTTCCCCTCCGGAGGCGCTTTTGCCCGATATCACATGGATAACGCCGGCTGGGGGCCACGAGGTGGAGGGTTCCGAGCTTTGTCTGCTCTTCTTTCCTCTTGGGCTGACTTCTCCGCTCTGTTTACAAAGCTGCTGAGATAACCATGCTTGATTTGATCTTCAATATGGTTACGCAGGTCGAAGCAGTTCTCTGTATCGTGGCCGTGGTCATTGTGGAACTTGCAATGTTTGTCTCGATTCCTCTTGTTGCTTTGGGTTTTCATTTTCTCAGGCGACCTGACATAGTTGCGGTCAAGGATTTGCATCAAGACTTTAGATCACGGAACATTAAGCGGCGTAATATTCCGATAGGTCGGCGGAGGGGTGCGAGGACTCTTGGGATCTCTGTCTGCTCTCTCTGACTTTCGCTCGTTGTTCTCTCTCTTTTTTCTGTCAGGCTTCTCATCCTCATCTTTGAGTTGTGTTTGGGCCTCTTCAGCATTGATATACTTTTGTGCATTGCTCATTAGCACAACCAATGTTTGAGGAGGGTTCTTGGAGATGGAGAAGTTGAACGGGGAAGGGCGGAGTCCGTGTTGTATGGCCGTCACCGCGGCTGATTGATTTAAGTCCCTGAATTGAAGCACTTCTTTGTTAAATCTCGCTAGGTAGTCCCTAAGGGACTGGGTCTCCAGTTGTGCCCAAGACGCTATAGACATCGGCGGCAGGGAGGAGTACCATGCCATGGCTGGGCCTTGCATTGTGGTTACAAGGGCTTTGCACATCAGTCCCTCCGATGCACAATGTAGCATTATATGAGCTTGGAGCACCGTGATGGGGTCGAAAGGGTCGGAATTTTCGTCGTACTTGTCGAGTTGGGGGGCTCGCCATCCGGTAGGGGTACCTCGTCCATGATGTCCTGGATGAGGGGCGGCTCCTTGGTGATATGCTCGGTGGCCTGCACAGGTTGATCTGCGGCGGATATTGGGCTCTTAGGGGCGGACGTATGCTCCAACTCTTCCAGACGTTGCCGCAATTCCTTAATCTTGGCGTCTCTACTACTCAAGGCTGTAGTGCGTACGACATCCCTTTTGGGCCGTGTGGGGTGATCCTTGACTGAACTTGACTCGATGACGGAGACCACGAAGGGCGACGTCCTTTTGCCGAGCCTTTCTTTGGCGGGGGTGCACACTGACTGGTGTGTCTGGCTGTGGCGGTGGGCCTTTGGGTCGTGTCCTGCCTCATGTGCTCAGAATGTTCTCCCCTTGCGTTTGTCCAGCGCGCTTTGGGGTCCTCGGTCCGAGGATCGTCTTTTGTGCATGTCGGGGTGTGAGGGGCAGCCCAGTTGAGCGGTGTAGCAGACCCTAGTGTTTGCATAAATTTGAAGATCCTATCAACCTTTTCCTGAATGGATCGGAACTACTCTTGATCTACCATGACAGAAGGCTACGAGACTTCTTGGTGCAGGGAGTGTCGCTTCTCCTGAGTCGGGGAATAGTCAGTTGATCGCTCAGGCTAGTTTTTAGGCATCTTGATTACTTCCTTGATTGCGTAGCGAGGGATAAGATTTTCGGGAAAGGCTTTTTTTTTCGGTTCCCGCAGATGGCACCAATTTGATGCTGCTCAATCTATGGTAGTGCATGAACTGAGGAAGGCGATCAGATAGTTCTTGTTGGCAGGGTGGGTCCGAGCTACAAGGACGAGGCCGCGTTTCAAGATCTGTGATCAAGGAAACAAAAGTCAGAGGGCCGAGGAGTTATCCCCGGGTAAGAACTCCGACGCTCAAGTCAGTAGAAGGTGGTGGGATGGTCGGTCTGAGCTATGAGGATGTTGGTCCGAGCTAAGTGGCTATAGGGGTCTCAAAAGTCGGATCCCTTACCTCGAGCATGGGGTACCTTTTTATAGCCAAAGATCCATGTCTTGGTCGGATTGGGATTCTGGGGTTGCCGGGATGAGGTTAGCCGTTGAGGTATTCGGGATAAAGTCCCATTCCCCGGCGGAGTTGTCTTCCCTGTTCCTCTTTATTCGTGGTTGTGCTCATCCCTGTGACGTGTAGTTGATGTGGCTGAAAGGAAAAGATGGGGGGTCACCACACTAGCGTAGCTTAGACGGGCTAGGTCGACGTGGTTGAGCAAGGATGACGTGGCAGGGCGATAGTTGGGCGGCCACATATCTTGTAGGGCCAGCTCAGCTATGACCCGATCAACAACCATAGCAAAACTTTGGGGCAATAGGTGAATCTCAACAATTCAGAGATCCTCTTTAGCTCAAATCTCCACTACAAATCACAAATTTTTTTTTGGCAAAAGCCCTTAAGGCTGTGTTTGGTTTGAAAGAAAAGGTAGGGAAAGAAGTGAAAATTAGAAAAACTTTGGTCTAGTCCAATTATGAATGTTAAGATACATGCAACTTGGGCCAATTGGGTGAGGACGAGGATCAATCTAAGCCTAATCCAAAGTCTTAAACCCTGAGTTTGAGCTTATATTAATTTAGTTAATGACTAAAAAAGTTAACTTTAGATTAATTTAATTATGACTATAGCCTGATTTTATATATTTACTGATATTTAGTTATTTTAAGTATTTAAGTGATATTTACAAAAAATCAAAACACTTAATCATTGATAAAGTAAAATAAATAAAATAGAACACTAACAAATAATGTGGAAAAATAATTATTTTTTTGAGTAGTTAGCAATGATTATTATTTCTTGCTAAAAATATTAATATAATTAATCCAAATTATTAAATTATTAAAACATTTTAATAAAAAAATTATTAAAATAAAGATTTAATTAGTTTAAACAATATTGCATTCTTTCCTTAATTATAAGTATTGGTTATTTTACTTTCCTTGATAAATCCTGTGCATCGCATGGGACCCTGCAAGTTTTTAACATAATCACTCCCAAACATGGTTAGCTAAGCTTTGCTTGAGTCTATGTCTTGTCTTTAATGTTTTATTTTTTTCATTTTTTATTTTATTTTATTTATTTAAACTTTTTTTTTTTTTGGGGGGGGGGGTAGGTAAGGCATTTGTTATGTTGTTAACGAAATTTCTTCATTAAAAATGGAATTAGTAACTGCTCATTGTGATGCATTTCTTCAACGGTACCAACTTTTTCAACACCAAGGATCAATCCATTAAAAAGATGCATTCATAGGAAAATAAATCGATTAACTGATCAGTTACTCTTCAGTTTGACCATTAATGGATGTATCCGATTGGATTATTAATCAGATGTGGGACAATTGAATTTGGAGTAGAAAGGTATCACACTTTTGGAGGTCTATGAGGATGGGCTGTGGAGACGATCTAATCCCAACGGGGGTCCCAACCACCAGTCATAACAGCTTTTACAACTGTGCACTAGGAACATCTCCCTCTTCTATCCTCCCTGGCTAGAGATGTTCCTAATGTACGATTATAAAAGCAGTCGTGAATAGAGTTGTTCATGGGCCGTGTTCGGATTTAGATTTTAATATTGTATCAAAATTAAAATGAGCCTGATCCAAAAACCCCAGCCCGGAATAGCATTCTAAGCTCAAACCCCGACCCGTATCCGTACTCGGGCTGTGGGGCACACTCCGTCGGGAGCCATCCGAACTCGCCCTATAATGCTTGAGCGTGTAGGATAAGTTCGACGGATGACGGGATGGATAATAACTCGCGGAAATTTGCGCCTGACTGATTTTCAAATCTGTGACAAGGAAACCTTGGGCCTGGATTTTGGGCTTCAATGGGTCCACACACGCGTGAAACACGATTCCATCTATGTGGACTTTCGGTGAAACATCTTACGGTCGAGAAATAAAGCCAGTGTATCAGATGGTTATAAATCTCCCCTTCCTACTATTTTTTAAGTGTAGCTCTGTTGTTAGGTTGGACCCACCGGATGGCCTCAAGGTTCAACACAAGACGAAATTTCCCGTCTATACGATCCTCCAGAACCCCAACAGCCGGGCAGTCCCAAGACACATGAGTCCAAGACAATTCCACGGATAGACGCGAACAAAGCGTGGGACCCACCTCGATATTGATTTTAGTTGATGTACGTATGACCAACTGGGACCCAGTCGGATCGGATGATGGTAATGTGTTGTACGATATAAAAATAAGTCATGGAGTATTCTATAATATTCTCTTAGAGGGAACTCCAAAAACGTCTTCGGTATAGCGGGAATCTTCGCTGAACGGCTGATGGGGATGAACACTTTCTATCCCGTACGTTCCAGTCAAAAGTTGAAACTGAAAAGGGTATGGCTAAATGACCATAAAACCCAAAATAATAATTGTTAACAACAAATAAGACAGACGTCGGTTAGGGTATTATGGTCATAATGTTAATTCTACAATTGAACCCCTTCATATTTATCATTGAATTTTTACCTGAAAATACTTTTCTTTTTAAGCTTGATTATGTGGCGCTTTAAAGTGAAAAAGAGTTAATTCTCTTCGTTGCACCATAATATGGTACGCCACAATCACTACATCGAGAAAGAGCAATGGCATAGGCTTTCAGCTATGCAACGAACAGAATCCGAGGTTGCTTATGAGCTTATCTCTTTAATTAATTCTTCTTGCTTAAAAATCAATTTAACGTTCTGGAATCATTAATTTCAGATAGCGAAATTCTCTGACTCATTGGGAAGTGAGTCTGTATTCTTCCATGCTTTAGCTCTGCGATTTTTTTCTTTTTTTTTTTACTTTCTTTTAAATTAATTCAAATTTTCTATTCTTTCCGGTCTGAAGTGTAGTGCAGGTGCTCTCGTCGACGGTCGAGATTCTGCTTTTGAAGAAAGCAAGAGCAAGAGATGCAAATTATCGACATACTGAACAGAGGTGACTACGACACCGACGATGAGTACGACGGTGAAATGACCAGAAAGCGAGAGCATGTTGTGTGTTTTTTGCCAACTGGAATTGTCTCACGTTGGTTATCTTTACTCAAGCGAGAGCCCAAGGGGCCTAATAGCGGGTCCAAGCGCAGGTTTCCGTCGTCGAAGGCTGAAGAAAAGAACAGAGAAATTGAGTGGTGTCGGAGAGGAAAGGAGATTGAAAGAGAAGAAGTTGGACAGTCACTAACTTTGTGCTGTTCGAGTGATGGAGCAAAAGGTGAATCATCATCGTCAACCATCGCAGAAGAAACTGCCGGAGCTTCTAATGTTGTCGCTCCATTAGGTGATGATCAACACTCCAAAGAAATTGTTTTTTTCCTTTTAAATTCGATATTTTTCTTTAGTTGGTTAGCTTGGTTTATGGGCTTAACTTTGTTGCAGAGATGGACACGTTTTCTTTGAGTTAGTTATTAATTCTTTTTGTCCTTTTGTAAGTATTTTCATGATTCTTACTGTTATACCCATCTTAACAATGCTTATGAGCTTGGGATATAAATCACTGGTTATTGTTGTTTCATAAATCTAAGAATTGTTACTGATAGGTTCTCAGAATTTTGATTTGAGGAAACCCCTTTATAAGAGCAGCTCACTGGGGTTTGAATTGACGCAGAACTTAATAAAATGCGTGTCCAACCCACTTGGACTGGCTTAATACCTGTCAAAAGAACAACTAGTCATCAGAAGCCACAAAAAATGAAGTTTATGGTTTCAAATCTGCAGTCAATTGCATAATTATTTTCCTTCATGTTATGTGGATAAGAGTCAGGAAAGATCATACTAGTATATTTTGAATATTTCAGTGAGAAACTGACTTCTGTGTTTGGTTTATGATGGAATTGGAATTGGGAGTGGAGATTAGGCTGCCAAGTTCCTTTTCCATCATTTTGTGCGTGTTTACTGAAGGGTGAAATTGAATCGGAATCAATTCCCCTGTGGAATTAAAAGTGGCCAGAAGTTCATAATTAAAATAATTGGGAGAGCTGTCATTGCTGATTCTGTTCTCATGAAGAATTGTAAATAGAAAGGAACTTGATGGAAACATGTGGAATCTGAAGTGTCAATTCCACATGATTCAATACCAACATCTAAGCAAAAATGTTTTCAAATCATTTTAATTCAATCCAATGGGGATATTATTTCCAGTCCTAAACCCAAGCCCTCAGATTGCTGTAGCTCTTTTTTCACCAAAAAAAAAAAATATTGCTGTAGCTCTTCTGCCTAAAAGCTGGCAAGGTTAATTTTACACAATAAGAAACATTCTAATACTCAAACTATGATTTACTCTGAATTCAAAGTTCAATCCGTAATATTTGTTCACCTAAGATTTATATGGTAAGTTTTGTTTGGACTGTAGTGGATAATTGGAAACAGAAGTTTCAGAATTTTGCCACACCATTTCAGCTCCTTAAGGGCCTGAAAAAGTTGAGTGGAAATACAGAAAAGAGAATGCCCTTTTATTAGTTATATTAGACATGAGTGTCAGTGTAACATGATAAGGTGTTGACTAGTCATTTTGGTCTCCCTAGATGATGCAATGATCACTTGGTGCTTAGGTACTAATGGACCATAAAAAAGGAAATTCTATATTTGATATATTGATGCAAATCATATATAAGTTGGTATTTATTACAAGAATGTCATATAGGAATGAAATATACCATTTAGTTTATAGTTTTTCTTCCAAACATAAAAAGGAAGCATGGCCTAAGATAAGAAAGTATAACCTTTGCTTTTGGTGCAACTTTGATTACTTCATGTGGCCCCTTTGTTTGCTTGCATCTTTAGACCAACACATCACTGATTGGATGAAGATCCAGAAGAACTTCACTGCACTTTTATTTTCACTGCACTCTTTTTATTAATTTCTTACTTGTTAGGGTTTTAGCAACACACATGTTGATGTGTGTTGTCTTGAACACTTGACCTGAACCAATAAGCAATGAAGAACTTCAAACTTTGTCGAATCAACACATTCTTATTTTTATTCTCATTAACATGTTGGGATTATTGGTTATTACCAATGAAAGATTATAGCTGGTTGCTATGGAGCCTAGGAAATTACCCTAAGATTTAGGGTTTTTGTTTAAAAAAACACTTCACCTAGGTGACGCCTGAGTAACAAGATATTCCCTGCTACCTAGCCTCAACTTGGTGCCTTGAAAACTATGCATCAGCTACCTATCAAGAAAAAAAAGCTATACATCAGCCAACCATATGCCATCATAAATCATAGAAAGCAGCTAGCATTCATATAGGAAAATAATGCATCTGTAGTATGTTTTTTTTTTAAGCAAAGTATGTAGTATTATTTTAAACAATCAGAAATAAACACAAACAAATAGATCTTAAAAGTAATTTGTAATAGAAGTAAAGCCTAAAAATAACTTTCTGGTTGACTAGATTGTCAACTTGTTTAGTATTACCAAGTTGATGCCTAGTAGGTGAGTAGCCAACACTTTGATAACAATGTTCAGACATTCAGTGCACAAACTTAGGGTTTTCATGTAGAATTTGAGCCATCTGAACTATGGGCCCAAGCTCTGGAAGAGATGTTTGGATCTGATTGTTTCTTGTATAAACAGTTTTCAACTCTTGATTTAGTTTTGGAGCTAAGATGGTGTTTGGCATCTTGGTGTATATCTACCATTGCAGTGAAGTATAATCAGCAACACAACAAATATCTGATTCTTCAACATTTTTCTTTAAACAAGTTTAGTAAAGGGATGTGTTGGCTAGGTGTTAAGTGTTAAATTTTTATTAAAGGTATTGTTGCAATAAGAAGAGGGCAATTCAGAAAAATGGTTTGCTTTTCATTTTTTAATGTGCCACAGCGTAGGGGGAATTGTAGCAACAACCTCCTCCTTGACCAATTGTGACAATGCCAATTTTGAATGCTACAACCAGCCAATTCAGCCCCCTTGCAAAATTCTGTGCCTTGCCTAGGCCTAGGGTCAGCTTCTTGAGAACATGGTTTAAAATGTCCATGAATGTCCTAATATTTTCATTTCCATGGGTAGTGACACAAAATTTCACTAGAACTGGCATATTTCCTAGTGAACACTACGAGTGCCATGTAGAGTATAAGAGATAGAATTATAACATAAGTTGGTGACAATATTGTAGATATGTGGAGTGGCAATATCATTACCCACCTGTACATGATTATCACTTCAAGCTAGCTTGATATTCATTTCAAACATGAAACTAAATATTGTTTCTGTTTGTGTAATAGATTATTTAGTTGATCTATTAGAACCATTTGCATTTTCTATGAGTTTAAATTTTACTTGAACTCATTCTATTATGTAGTTCTGAATCTTAAGGTTTATAGGACACCTTTACAATGTATTGTTTTGTCTATAACCTTAGTTTCTCAACTTTGTTTAATGATTTGGAACAAGATAATAATTTAAAAAGGTGTGTTTATGCTTCTTTTATCATTTCGTAGAACATTGTTCTATATTTTTAACATTTCCACCATGTCTATAGTTTTTACAATATATCCATGATATTTCCAACATTTCCTATATTTATGTCTCATTTCAAGCATGTACTTTTTGGAATACATTGGTTGGCTTGGGGGCTCTGCCGCTGGACCCCTAACCAAGCCCCTTGAGGCAAGTCCATGAGAATCTCCTATTTGCTAATGTTGTTTATTCATTCTTCCCAATAAAACATGTTTTTAAAAGATAAGTAAAATTATAAAACAATTTTTGAAGGGATTAAGAATTTAAGACCTTAACATGGACTTGTTTGGGCTTTCCTTAGGGGGATTGGTACAAAGCAGTTCATAGAATTAGGGTTGGAAGATGTTTAACATCACATTAGCTATTCGAAATTGTTATAGTACACAAATCAGGGGTATTTTGGTCATTTGGGTTTTATCTATTTGAGAGTGAAAGGTCTATTTTATCTAAGTTTAAGTTATGTGTCCCATCACTTATGAGGGACAATAGTCTTTTTTGTAACTATGTTATTGGAGATAAATGCAAGTGGGTCGACTAGAGGGGGGACTGATTTTTCCTCATTTGGCCGAACCCTTCTCCTTTTTCTTCTTCTTCTCTTCTTCTTCTTTCTCTTCTTCTTCTCTCTGCTCTACAACACAATCACACGTGGGAACTCATTGCTCTTCCTCCTGGTAAGCATGCTGTTGGGTGTAAGTGGGTCTACACAGTGAAGTATCTTCCAGATGGTAGTGTGGAGCGATTGAAGGTCAGGTTAGTGGCCAAGGGCTATTCTCAGCTGTATGGTGTGGACTATATGGAGACATTTTCTCCTATGGCTAAAATTGGTTTAGTTCGGGTGTTGATTTCATTAGCTACTATGTATGATTGGGACTCTTGTGCAACTTGACATAAAAAATGCTTTCCTACATGGCGATCTCATTGAGGAAGTGTATATGGAGCAACTGCCAGGGTTTGTTGCTCAGGGGGAGGATGGTAATGTTTGTAGACTCAAAAAGACAATTTATGGACTGAAATAATCTCCACGTGCATGGTTTGGCAAGTTCAGTGAAGTAGTGAAAGACTTTGGGATGAAACAATGTCAGGTAGACCATTCTGTGTTCAACCATGACTCAAGGAAAATCTTGCTAGTGGTGTATGTGGATGATATTGTCATAACTGGGAGTGACAGTAATGGGATTGACAGGTTGAAGTTCCTATAGGACCACTTCAATACGAAAGATTTGGGTAAGCTGAAGTACTTCCTGGGAATAGAAGTTGCAAGGTCATGGCATGGAATTAACTTGTGTCAAAGGAAATATGTTATTGACCTTCTTGAAGAAATAGGACTGTTAGGTGCTAAACCAGCAGAGACTCCTATGGAACTTAATGTCAAGTTGAGTGTTGATGCARGTGAAGAGTTTGATGATCCTGGAAGATACAGGAGGTTGGTGGGAAAGTTGAATTATCTGACTATTACCCGACCAGATATATCATTTGCTGTGAGTATGGTGAGTCAGTTTATGCAACATCCTCGGATTCCTCATTGGGAAGCAGTTCGAAGGATTGTTAGGTATCTGAAGGGTGCTCTAGGTCGTGGTTTGCTATACCTAAGTGGAGGGACTCTTGAAATAGTAGGGTATACAGATGCTGATTGGGCTGGTTCTATCTCAGATAGGAGATCAACTACAGGGTATTGTACCTTCCTTGGTGGCAATCTTGTTAACTTGGAAGAGCCAGAAACAAACAGTGGTGGCAAGGAGTAGTGCAAAAGCTGAGTACAAAGCTATGRCTCATACCACATGTGAACTAGTATGGTTGAAGAACTTACTACAAGAGACGGGGTTCTTGGTTGACAAACCCATGAGACTATACTATGATAACCAAGCTGCTGTTCACATCTCTTCCAACCTAGTTTTCCATGAGAGAACCAAGCATATTGAGGTCGATTGTCACTTTGTGAGAGAGAAAGTGATAAGTGGAGTGATAACCACATCTCATGTGAGCTCAGGAAATCAGTGGGCAAATCTCTTTACAAAGGGATTGTCTCGGGGCAGAGTAGATTATATTTGYGACAAGCTGGGACTATATGACATATTCTCTCTAGCTTGAGGGGGAGTGTTAGAGTACACAAATCAGGGTATTTTGGTCATTTGGGTTTATCTATTTGAGAGTGAAAGGTCTATTTTATCTAAGTTTAAGTTATGTGTCCCATCACTTATGAGGGACAATATAGTCTTTCTTGTAACTATGTTATTGGAGATAAATACAAGTGGGTCGACTAGAGGGGGGACTGATTTTTCCTCATCTGGTCGAACCCTTCTTCTCCTTCTTCTTCTTCTTCTTCTCTTCTTCTTCTCTACTTGAACCTAGAATTGAATAGGGATTTTACAGAAATAATGCAATTGGGAAAGAAATAAAGAAATCGAAAGTTTGACATGCTTGAATATCTTTTATGTGCTATATTTATCAAAAAAATGTTTTCTGTGTTTGATTTTATTTTTGGTTTTCACCTTGAATATATTTTACATGTTATGTTTATGTATTTTAATTTGAGTTAATAGGATTTTTAAAAGTTTCAGTTTTTAATTAATAGTATTTTGTACTTTCTTAATTTATTTTGCATTTTTTTATTTTTTTTAGATTTTGTGCCATGCTTCAAGAAGGAATGCATTCTTCTTAATTTAGATTAATAGTATTTTTTTTTGCATTTTTTTAGATTTTGAGCTAATAGGCCTTTTAAAATATCTATTTTAAAATTAAACTTTGCAATTTTCTAATTAATTGTATTTTGTATTTTCTTAATTTATTTTGATTTTTTTGCATTTTTTAAAAATTTTGTGTCCTGCTTCGAAAAGGCACACACCTTGTACCTCAGGCACAAAATGCCCTATGTGCTTTTTTTGCACCTTGTGCTTTTAAAACACTGGTTTTAGAGTATGCCGTTATGTTAACTTTTCTGCATAAATGAGTATGAAAACAAGATTCTTGTATGTTAATGCAAAGATGCAAAGCATTGGAAGCTAAACACTACAATGCCACCCAAACACCTTCCAATAATGGCTTCCAAAGATACAGACTTTCCTTGAAAGCCATTTCCACATCCACTTAACCGATAAACCACCAACACTCTAAGAAGACTGGAAATCAGCAACAGTAGGGGGAGGACCCACTGATTCTGAAATAGCTGCAGAAAGCACCAACACAAAATCTGGTAGGTGGCAGGACAGTGAATCAACAAATGATGGACAGGTTGAGGTGCCAATCTACACAGGCTACAAGCATTATCCATCTCCATACCTTACTGCAGCAGATTATCAATGGTTTGGATCTTCTCCTTCCCGACACACCACATAAAGAAAATGATGCTGATAGAGACTTGGTCACCCCAAATCCAAGACCAAGAGATCTGAAATGCACCAAGCAATGCCATATAGCAACATCTGGTAGAGAAACAGTGAGAACTCTCCCATACCCGCAACCCTAGAATCCCTAGAGCTGGGACCAGGCCTGACATCTTGCGGTGTACTAAATATGGCCTCAAGAATTCCCACTTCCCAATCATCCAAGTTCCTGTGGAATCTACAGACCCACACCAGCTAGTTGTTCAACTGACACTTCCCTGTTAGAAGCAACTGTGTGAAATTTTGTTTTTATAAGTTAAGGATGGCACTCATAATTAGGAAGTGTTTCACATGAAAAACCCGACATAATCATTTATTAGTGCTAGGATCTTATGCAGTGCCTAGAACATTTCTGTTCAAGGTACATATTTTTTCTTTTGTAGGTAATATGGTATGGAAACCTTGAGCTTGATATTGTGAGACAGAATGCCATCCACTTTGTCATAGTTAATGTAGAGTATTGGGATATGTGAGAAAAACTGAAAATGTTTTGCTATTTTTTCATATTTTGTATGGCCTGTTACTTGCATCTTATAATTTCCAAGATATTGAAATTTGCTGTAAATAACTATTGCTGGTATTGATAATTTTTCTGCAATATGAAGTTGTAAGTTTAGGAATCATTACGCTACATAATGCATGTAGAAGCTAGTATTTTACTCCAGCAGCCTCATCGGATCCTTTTTTTCTTTAAATTATTTTATTTTGTTAGTCTTATCTGATCTTTTTTTTTTTTTTTTTTTTTTTTTTTTTTATCTCAAGCAAATATTCTTTTCCTTCCCCTTCCAGGAAAGCATATGAAGGATCTATCGTTCAACTTAGGTCTAGGAGTTGGTCTGGCTTTTCTGGTTGCTGCAACAAAAAATGAATACTGTAAAATGATGGAGCTGCAGGCACAAATGGAAATGCTTCTTAAAGAAGCTAAAGATGGACTATGTTTGAGAGATGTAATCTCTAAGCAGTCTGATCCACATGATAATGTCCCTTGTTTCACCGAAGAGTCACATGATGGTGGAAAGACGGATTACCATCTTTCTGTTCAAAATTGTGCATCATTTCAGCATCTGGTAGATTCTGAAATCACCATGGAATGTGATGAGTTTTCAAAATGTGATACACCCACAGGAGAAGGTATAGTGGGAATGGAAAAGCTGGGGGCAGAGCTTGAATCTGAATTGGAGCTTATGCAAATCAATTTGGATACTGGTGTTTTTATGAGGCATCCACAAGAGCAATTGAGAGAGGTATGAGGCACTGATAGCATATACCTTATTTTCTTTTCCTTTTGAGTTCATCATATATTTTTTCTTTATGTGGATTGCTATTTCTTCCGTATTATATCCTGTTTAAATAAGTTGTTTATCAAAAAAAGTCACCTCAAGCATGCTGACAATTGATATCTGCAACCCACCAGTGAAGGGTTTTCGTCTTTTCAAATGGTCCCATTTGTAAGTAGTTATCATATATTTCTTGATTCTAATGGGTTACTGCCCATTGTAGGGGCATCCATCTCCTCTTATATAGCCTTTTTCCACTCAATTTTGGAAAGAGCCTCAGTGACATTCCTTAGGTATAGACACAACAGCAAGAGAAGACAAGAAAGCATAGTAGGATGATGGAAGGGATTTATATGAGACGTGATGTGAAATGCAATGGGCCATGGAGGTGCACTTTTTCTTCCCCTTGCGAAGTGCAATAGGAAGATCAATATCACAAGGAATTGAGGTATCATTAATAGTAATAGGGACAATATCAGTAATAGGAACAATAGGCATACTTGGATATATGTCTAGTGAATCTGAAGTAGGATCAACTGAGAGTGGCATCAGTTCTTCTAGGGCATCAGAATCAGCCCTCCTATGCTGCTGCCAAAAAAATTGAGAAGAGCAATGGAGAGGAGTTGGTAAAGGAACTATAGAAGTTGGTGGTGGAGGAACTTTAGGACTAGATAGAAGAGGAGGGGATGGCAAAGGAACAGAATAACTCTCCCCGTGAGGAGGAACAGAAGAACACTCCTCCTGAGAAGGAAGATCTAAAAAGAAAGTAGTGGACTCATAAAAGGTGACATCCATTGTAACAAAATGACTCCTAGACACAGGGTCATAACAATAATACTGCTTCTGATGCAGAGCATATCCCAGGAGAACACACTTCTTAGCTTTAGGATCAAACTTAGGCCCCATTTGTTTACCGTTATCTTGGGGTGGGAAAGTTGGTTAATCCCATGTTCTTTTGCAAATGTATGTGGTTTAAAAGCTAAGCACTCTACAAGGCATACAATTAGTTAGAAAGATTGCTGTGGAAACTGCATCCCCCCAAAAATGAACTGAAATAGAGTTAGCAATCGTAATGGTTTGAACCACTTCAGCAATTTGTATATTCTTCCTTTCTGCCACCCCATTTTATTGGGGAGAATAGGTACATGAGTTTGATGAACAACTCCATACTCCACAAGATATGCAGCTAGAGTTTTTTATTTCAAAATACTGTGTAACTTTATTATATCTAAACACCTTAATACATATGCCAAATTGAGTAAGAATCATCTGATGAAATTGATGAACAAGGGATGGAACCTCATCATGTGAGTGCATTAGATATAGCCAAGAATAGTGTGAATGATCATCAGCAAACAATAAAAATATCTAAAACTACCCATGGAGGAGAAGCACTTCTTTTGTTACTAGGGGAAAAATAATGTCTACAATGCTTCACCAATTGACAACTTTCACACTCCAAACTAGACACTTTAATTGACTCAAATTGCTTAGAAAACAAAAGAGTCAATGAATGAAATTATAGATGATCCAATCGATTATGCCACAACATAATCTCACTCACTGACTTGGACTCTCCAGAATTGCAACTAACATGATGACTTCGATGCCGAGGATGTGTCTCTAGAAGCCTAAAAGGTAGATCCCATTCACCTAATAACTGCTCCAAATCATCTTCCTTGACTCTAGATCCTAAAAGAACACAATGATCAGAAAAAAAAACGTTACTAAGCAATTCAAACTTTTGGTCAAACTACTCACAAAAAGGAGATTTGCATGCAATTTAGGTACATGTAAGGCAGAGAGAAAGGTAATGGTATTGGTCACCTTAATGGTGCCTCTATCAACTATGGGTGCATATGAACCATTAGTGATGGAAACTCTATCCCTACCAAAACATAACTGATAAGTAGAGGATATACTAGTCATGTGTCCTAGGGCTGCTGAGTCTATAATCCAAGGAGGTTCCTCCTTACCTGAGATAGAAACATAATTGATAGTGGCATATGTACTACTTGTATAGGCATAATAAGAAGTAGAATGTCTAGCACTAGAGGATTCCCCGCTATCAGTATCCTTTTGAGTTAGATGCCCATATTTCTCCAACTGGGCCTTAACAGTTGTAGTAGCAATAGACTCCATGGTTTCATCAATCACTGCAACATTGGCATTGCCCTTTTTGTTTCTGAGACAAGGTAGAATAAGATTAGGATGAAGTTTCCAGTGGGTGTCTCTACTATGTTTAGGTTTTTTCCGTAATCACACACCACATCCTTCTTCTCCTTCTTATTCTCACCACTACCTCCCTTATCTCCACTAGGTCGGGGCTTAGTAGCACTAACCATTCATGTGGCTTAAAAAACAAAAGGTCGGAGCATGACATTCCTTCTACTTTCCTCCTTTGAAACAAGAGAATATGCTTGAAACATGTTCACACTATCACAAGAGAGAATATTTTGCCTGATGATGTTGTGTTCTGGGTTAGGTCTTGTCAAGAACTCAAAAACCCTAGTTGCCTCTACAAGCCTCTGATATGTGCTAGCATCCTTTGTACGTTGCCACTCAACTGTCTCCAAATGATCAATCTCATGCCACAAAGTCTTCAAGGATGATAAATAAACTGCTAGTGACTTATCCCCTTGTTTCAAACTATTCACTTAACTCCTCAACTGGTAGGCACGAGCCACATTCATACCCTGAGAATAAGTTTCCTTTGCACAATCCCAAATCTCCTTTGCAGTGTCTACACATATGAATTTTTTACTAATACGTTGCTGCATTGAGGTACATAACCAGGTCATCCCCATATACTTTCTTGCATCCATTTTGCACACGATGTGTTTGAGACCTCTAGCTTCTTTGTATCCCCAGTGGTATATCCCAATTTCCCTCTTACATCAATATCCATCTGTGCAGATTGAGCCCATTCTAGGTAGTTTGCACCCTCCAATTTCACTGTGGTTATTATTCCTGCATTCTGGGTGTCTAGCACCTGCCAGAATCATCTTGTTATCACTAGGAGACTTCTGGTTACTCCGATCAGCAGCCATTGGTTTTCAAACAATCTCACCAAAAAAGGTCAAAGGAAAAGCTTCCAGATCAAATTGAACTGATTTCTGGAGCAAAAACAACAGCCCAGAAACAACCTGGGAACCCAGTAGAAAGGGGAAATCACACTCGAGAAGAGACACCCTGAAAAAAAATCCTAAGTAGATCGATCTCATCCACCAAATTGTCCAAAGAGGTCAGAGACTGTTCCAGCAGCAGTCGATCCCCAAGAATATGTCAAGCAACCTCTGCAAAGGGTGTGTCTCTTGTTATCACTAGGAGACTTCTGGTTACTCCGACCAGCAGCCATTGGTTTTCAAACAATCTCACCAAAAAAGGTCAAAGGAAAAGCTTCTGGGTCAAATTGAACTGATTTCTGGAGCAAAAACAACATCCCAGAAACAACCTGGGAACCCAGTAGAAAGGGGAAATCACACTCGAGAATAGACACACCCTGAAAAAAAAATCCTAAGCAGATCGATCTCATCCACCAAATTGTCCAAAGAGGTCAGAGTTCCAGCAGCTGTCGATCCCCAAGAATATGTCAAACAACCTCTGCAAAGGGAATTGCCTATCCCAAGGAAGTCTAGAAAAGGATTTTACTGAAGAACCTACCCTTCTCTCTCTGATTCTTCTTGTTTTGGGCAGTTACCCGAGTCCAGCATCTTGGGCAGCAGCAAAAGAACTCCAAAAAAACTAAGAATCAGGCTCCAAAATTGAGGGTGATCAGCCTTTTCCCTATTCCATGTAGTCGGCTGACCCTAAACCAGCATGGAACCCACTTCCAAGGCTTCAAACTTGGCTCCAATACCAAGTAGAAGTTTATATAACAGCACGAAATAAGAGAAAAAGGTGAAAACAGAAAAGAAAAGGTTTCAGCAGTAGGAGAGAAGAAAAGGAAAATAAAGAGAATAGAAGGAAGGAAAAGGGGGGTCATAAGTGTTGGGCCGTTGGCATTCTATTTGTATTTATACTTTATCATGTGGCTAAAGTACAAAGATTAATGAGCCCTTAGTAGGGCGGCTGTTAAAAAGCACTTATAAAAGCATAAAAAGTATTATGGGCCCAGGCCCAACAACTTAAGACAAATAAATAGAACTGAAATAAAAAACCATGAATGAATTGATTTAAATCTTTATTTATCAAAAAAAATGAAAAAACAGTAGAAATCCAGGATGAATTCCTTGTGAAGAGAAAGAAGAAGAAGATGAAGAGTTTCAGCAGTGAGAAGAAAAGAGAGGAAGGAAAGAGTGGGATGTTAACTTAAAAGAATGAAAGATTACAAGAATGCTCTTAGTAGGGCGGTTACTAAAGTAGTTGAATAGTTACAACTTAAAAAACATAAGCTAATGGGCCTAAAGCCCAACAACTTCCTAACTTAACAACTTAAAATAAGAAGAAAACAACTGGGCCCAATAACTAGAAATCGGCCCAACTCAACACTCCCCTTCAAGTTGGGAGTAAATGTCACACATTCCCAACTTGCGTAGATCATGCTCCAGCTTATTCTTTGCAACGCCTTTTGTGAGGACATCAGCAAGCTACAAATTAGAAGCAATGTATGGGAGACAAACTTTCCCTAGAAGTCGCCATTTCTTTGATGAAATGTCTATCCACTTCAATGTGCTTAGTTTGGTCATGCTGAACTGGGTTATGGGCAATGTTAATTGCTGCTTGGTTATCACAGTACAACATCATAGGTTCTTCTGCCTGTACACCAATCTCTCCCAATAGGGAACGGATCCAAAGAAGTTCTGAAACTCCATGTGCCATGGCCTTGTATTCAGCTTTAACACTTGATCTTTCCACCATTGTCTGTTTCTTACTCTTCCATGAAACAAGGTTACCCCTAACAAGGGTGCATACTCTTGAAGTAGATCTCCTATCATCAAGGCATCCTGCCCAATCTGCATCTGCAT